TTATGTGTGTCACCAAAAAAATTACTCAGCTTTGACATTAATATTGTAAAATTATATTTATGACAAGTTTTTCAAAAATTTTTTTTCGTATGGTCGTTAAGGAAAATTAAATTTTTGTTAATCATAAATTTTGGATTAGTATTTTTGATTTTTTTTTCAATTGTCAAGTATTTAATTTTTTTGAAATTCTGTTATTTTTTGTGTATTTTTTAATTCTTTTGTCAATTTTTTAATTTTTCTCTCGACTTTATAAATTACTTGATTCTTTTTCAATTCTTTTAGCAACTCTTTTATTGTTCATCTATTTTTAAAATTTTGTTAACATGTATTTTTTGAATTTTGAATTTTTTCTTTAATTTATTTATTTAATTATTATTTCTGCATTTTTTGTCAATTCAATTCAAATAATAACTTCTTTCAGTTTTTTAATTTTTTTTTAACACTTCTTCAATTTTATGTCAATTGTGCATTTTTGGTCTATTTTTGGATTTTTTTTGTCAATTCTTTCATTTTATTTTCAATATTGTAAAATTTTTTACTCTTTTTAAATCTTTTGGCAGTATTTTAATTTTTTCTCATTTAAAATTTTTCTTAACGATTGTGTAATTTTTTTTTGTTTATTTTTCAATTTTATGTCAATTGTATATTTATTTATTTATTGTCTATTTTTGGATTTTTTTGTCAATTCTTTTATTTTATTTTCAATATTGTAAAATTTTTTACTCTTTTTAAATCTTTTGGCAGTTTTTTAATTTTTTTTTATTTAAAATTTTTCTTAACAATTCTGTAAGTTTTTTTGTTTATTTTTCAATTTTCTGTAAATTGGACATTTTTTTTCTATTTTTGAATTTTTTTGTCAATTTTTTCGTTTTATTTTCAATATTGTAAAAGTTTTGACTCTTTAAATTTGTTGTCAGTTTTTTAATTTTTTCTTATTTAAAATTTTCCTTAACAATTCTGTATTTCTTTTTGTTTATTTTTCAATTTTCAGTCAATTGTACATTTTTTGTGTATTGTTGGATTTTTTTGTCAAATCTTTAATTTTTTGTCTATTTTTCAATTTTCTTGTTATATCTTTAATTTTTTCTCTATTTTCTAAATTTCTTGTCTCTTTAATTTTTTTTGTCCATTTTAAAATTTTTTTATTTTTTAAAATAATTTTTAACAATTCTGTAATTTTTTTATTGTTTATTTTCCGATATTTTTTGTCCATTCTGCAAATTTTTTTCTACTCCTTTTCAATTTTTTTTTTGTCAATTATTTAATTTTTTGTCTATTACTCAATTTTCTTTTATAATTCTATAATTTTTCTTATCAATTTTCTAAATTTTATCATTCTTTTATAATTTTTTTTTTGTCAATTATTTATATTTTTTGCATATTTTTTAATTTTATTTTACTTTTGTCATTTGTTTGTCTCTTTTTTAATTTTTACTCAATTTTATTCATTTTTGTTGTTTTTATTTTAATTTTTTTTGACAAATCTTTCATTTTTTGTCTATTTTTAAATCTTCTTGTTATATCTTTAATTTTTATTGTCAATTTTCAAAATTTCTTGACTCTTTTCCAATATTTTTTGTCAATTATTTAAATTTTAGTCTATTTTTCAATTTTGTAATTTTATTAAACTCGTTTTCAATTTTTTTTGGCAATTCTGTAACTTTTTTTGTCGATAGTTCAATTCTTTGTCAACTTTTGAAATTGTTTGACTTTCTTTCAATTTTTTTTTGTCAATTTTCCAGTTTTTTGTCTATTTTTCATTTTTTGGTCATTTTGTCATTTTTTTACTCTAATTTCCTTGACAATTCTGCGTCATTTTTTTTTTTTTGACTCTTGTACAAAGTGTTTGTCAATTCTCTACTTTGTTTGTTTGTTTAAAAATCTGTTTTGTCAATTGTCCAATTCTTTTGTCTATTGTTTATTATTTCAAATTTTTTAAGGAAAAATATTTTTAAGGAAAAAGAATTTTGAAGAAAAAATAATTTAAAAATAGCAAAGAAAGAGATTTCTTTACTATTTCAAAATTATTTTCTCCTTTTTTAAATCTTGTTGTCCATTTTTCAATTCTTTCTCCAATTTTTCAATTTTATGAAAGAAAATATTTTCCTTTTTTTTGAGAAAATATATTTTCCGCAAGAGCATTGGTTTATTTATAAACTGAAAAAGAAAAAAAAATATTTAGTTTGTTTATTAAAAAAGAAAACATAAATAGAAAAAGTAAATTGGAACCATATATTTTCTTCTCTCAAGTGGAACAACTAACACACACACACATAAAAATATATATAACGGAAAAATAATTTCCGGAAGTGGAATGTGGCATGATACAAGTCCAGATCGAAGACAATGAGAAAGAAGGAAACTTTCAGGCTTGAAGTTATCTCCTGTATACTTCACCCTCGAGGTTCAGTTACGATGATTGTCCCCTGGTGTCAGGATTGTCCATTAAAGTTTCAACCAAGTTTCCACCCGCGGTGTACTCGCCTGCTAACTTCACGCAGTGTTCTTTTTTTTCTTCCTTTTTTTTCCCCATCCAAGCCAAGAGGATTTTTATTTGCCCTTGTTCTTTTCATTTCCCCTGCAGGCGACCGCGACAACGGGAATCGAGTAAATTTCATACTTTTGCATTTTATGCTTTTCTTCCTGCGAAGAATTCTTCTTCTTCATCATCTTCCTCTTCTTCTTCTTCTTCTTTAACTTTTTTTCTTCCTCTTCTTCTTCATTCTCTTCTATTTTTTTTAAACAAAAATATTCATTTGACAATTTTTTTTATTCTTTTTACTGGTAAATTTGTCATTTGCATTGAAGCAGTTTTGTTCGTGTTTTGCTCAAAAATGAGAAAACTAGTTAGGGCCCTGTTGGAGCCTTGTTTCATTTGGGGAAATTTTCTTATCTTTTCGTTCGGAAGATATTAAAAGTGTCCCTATTCAGTAGGAAATAAGAAATTTTTTTGCCTGGTTTCCTCTGTTCATAACGGAGTTCTAACAAGGCTCTGGATAGTTTTCCCGGTTGCCTAGTTTTCCCAAGTGATTTCCCAATTTTGTTTAGCTCGAGAAATTTCTACTTTTACCGAAAAAATAAAATTGTAATCGAGGGAAAAACAGGAGAATTTCCTTCTATTCTATTTTAAAAATAGGTTTCATCAAGGCTCTGGATAGTTTTCCTAGTTTCGCGCTAAATATTTTTTCCTTGTAGTTTTATTTCTTACTTGAAAAAATGTCTGTCCCATCAAGTGTCAAAAATATAACAGTGACAAGACAAAGACTCAAATGCTGCTAAAATGGAAACTAGTCAAACTTGCCGTGCCCCTGTCAAAGCCCGGTTTTGAATCGAAAGATAGAAAAATTCCCCCTGTAGCGAATAAACAATATTTTTATTCATTTTTCAGTTCCATTTTTAGAAAAAAAATTTAAAAAAAAACAATTTTCCATCAGGGCTCTAACAGGGCTACATCTAGTTTCTCCACTCAGCGCAAAGAAAAAGCAACAAATATTCTTTTTTTCCCCAGATCGCTAGTACATTTGACGTTGTCACATAGTTGTAGTTGGCGTTAAAAGGGGTTTCTATCTCGAGAAAGGAAATTTCATTTCTAGGTAATGTTATCCCGAGAACCTCTAGGGCCATCGTTGCAAACTTGGAGGCAAGAGAGACACTCGATCGCAGGACTCCATTTGCGGTTTAGCATAATGGAAATCCGACGCGCGGAGCCTTTTTGGCCCACAGCATCTTCTCTCTCTCTCTCTCTTTCTCTCTCATTCTTCTTCATTCTCTTCTATTTTTTTTTTAAACAAAAATATTCTCCTCTCTTTTTATCGTTCACATTCTTATCACAGTTGGCCCTCCGTGTTCTACGTGACCACATTTATCAAAAAGAAAAAATAAATAAAACCTAAACGAGAACCGGGAAACGGTATCCAGACGCCTATGAGGAGTTTCAACAATGGAACTGCTTCCGTTATGGATGCTCCAAGTTGGGTAATTTTTCAATGTCTATATATGAAACTAGTTTTCCTTTGCCAGCAAATCAGACAAACGAGCATCATTTCATTGATCCTCCGAAGATACCTGTTGATATTCTTGTGTGTATATATACAATCGGAAAACTTTTACTCGGGGATATTTTTTTTTTTACTTTTTTTCTCTCGGCAAAATAGTTTTTGACGGGGCGCTGTTGGGGTCCGAGTTCGGCGAGTGTTGAAATCAGGTTAGAAATAAATTATCAAAATTAAAATCTAGTCGAATTTTTTTCTACGATCTTCTTTTTTTCTACTAACAGTTTTTTTTATTAAAAATAATAATCATAATAATTAATAATTTTCAATTATTAATTAACAATTTGTTGTAGCAGCGTTTTTTTTCTACCAACATTTTTTTTTTCTAGCAACAATTTTTTTCAACCAACATCAGGGCTCGAAATAGGTCCGTAAATTTGCTTGCAGTCCGTAAAAGTCAGTTTTCTAATATTTATTATTATTTCTAATTTTCTAATATTTATTTAATTGAAGAATTTATGAATATAATTGAAATTTCGTAAAATTGAATATTGTCGACAAATGGATTTGAAAATTGTCAAAGAACTTTAAGACCAGTAAATAATTTTTTTAATAACAATTGTTAATAAACAAAAGATGAAGTTCACTCAACAATTTTTTTCTATCAACAATTTTTCTTCTACAAACAATTTTTTTCTACACAAATAATTTTTTTTTCCCCTTTCTGCAACTTTTTTCGGAAAGAAAAATTACGACACTATCAAGATGGAGAAAGAGAGAGAGAGAGAGAGACAAGAGAAAAAAATTCGTTTTCGGCGTAATTTCATATGATAAAGAAGCGGACGACTAATTGCAGACTAACGCCGATGTAATAATTACCAGAGATGAAGAAAAAAAAGAGAGAGGGAGAGAGAGAGAAAAAAAGAAGTCGCGGAAGCGGAAGAAAAATGATAAAATGCAGCAAAGACGATCGTTAATCGTGGTCCTTTTTGTCTTTGCATTTTTCAGGAAGGCTGTGATGAGGGGTGTCGGCTAAAAAGGTTGTCGCGCAGGCGTACTAGGAGCTTGGGAAGATGCTGCCTTCCGGGAGAGACTTGTTAAGGCCGTTGCTTCTTCTAATCATCGCAGGAAGCACCGAGGCCTTCAATTCACGACAAACAGGTGAGAAAAATGTTTTTTTTGTTCTTTGCCTTCATAAAAAAAAAACCCCTTGCCCCCCACCGTTCGACTTTTGTAGGAAACGAAAAAAATCCAATATTATAGTACAAATTACAATATTGTAATAATATTATATATTACAATCACAGTAAAACGTGAGGTGTTAAAATAACACCAGAATGGATTAAAATAATCTGCAACAGTTTAATCTCTCTAGGATTAAATTGACACCAGAAAAGATTAAATTAAAATAATCTATTTTGGTGTTATTTTTAACTACGAATGAAATTTTACATTAAATAAAACACAAAAGTCAACGATTTGTAAAAAATCAACGAATTTAGCATCTCCAGGGAGAATAGTAAGTTAGTAACTAAGTTCTAGTAACTAAATTAGTAACTAAATTAGTAAATTAGTAACTAAATTCAATTGTGTTAAAAAATTTTAAAAAATTCTCGTCAAAATTTCAATTCTCTTTATAAATAATAAAGTTCTTCTCTGATATTCAATTATTTTCAAAAATTTTAATCAAATTCTTGTTAAAATTTCAATTATTTTCAAAAGTTTTCTAAAATTCAATGATTTTCAATATCTACTATTTCTTTAAAATTTTCCAAAAGAATTCCATTACTAAAAAAAATTTGAATAAAATTCTACGCAAACATTCAATTATTTTCACAAATAATAAAAATTTTTACAGGAATTCAATTATTTACAAATTTTTTTAATAAATCTCTTCACAATAATTCAATTATTTTCATAAATAATAACATTTTTACAGGGATTCGATTATTTTGAAAAGTAATAAAATTCTTTTAGGAATTCAATTATTTTCATAAATATTAAATAATAAAACTTTCATTGCAGAATTTCAATTATTTTTAATGCAATTTTAATCGAATTCCTCGAAAAATGTAATTATTCTTAAAAATTTTATTAAAATTCGTCCAAAGAATTTAATGATTTAAAAAAATTGTTGATAACATTTTTTATGAGAATTTAATTTCAAGAAACATGAAATTAATAAATTATTTATTTACATTTTATTTGTATTTAAATAATTGAATTCTCGTTGAATTTACTAATAAAAATGCTTTTAAAAATGAATTTCAGTTAAAATTTTAGATTATAATTAAATATTAAAAACATTATAACGTGGATTTTTAGAAATAATTAAATTTTGCAAAAGTTTCTAATTAAAATCATTGAAATTCTTAACTTTTCATATTTTTGACAAACAATTCTGTAGAATTAATTCTTTTTCAAAGTTTAATAGGATTTTTTATTGAAATTATTTCAAGTTTTTATTTTTCAATATATATTCAATTGCAGAATTTCCGCATAATTGAAATTTTGTAAAATTGAATTGTAAACGAATGAATTTGAAAATTCTCAAAGAACTTTTTTTAAAAATTATTAAAAATAATGGATTTATTGAAGAATTTTAGTTAATAACACTAGAAAAAAATTTAATTTTAGAGAAGTTAGAAATTATTGCAGAAATTCAATTATTTTCAAGAGTAATAAAATTCTTCTTAAGGATTCAATTATTTTTACTAATAATAAAACTGATCGCAGCGTTTTAATTATTTTTCATACAATTATAATTGATTTCCTTGAAAAAAGTAATTATGTTCATGCAAGTTTTAATAAAATTCGATAAAAGAATTCAATTATTTAAAAATTTGTTAATAAAATTCTTTATGAGAATTGAATTTTCAGAAACATTCAATTATTCAATAAATTATTTATTTTTGCATTTAAATAATTAAATTCTTGTAGAATTTTCTAATAAAAATTGATTTTCACTTCATAAAATTGAATTTCAGTTAAAATTTTAGATTATAATTGAATATTAAAAGCAATATGGCGTGAATTTTTAGAAATAATTGAATTTTGAAATTAATTTTTTTGAAAAAGTTTAATTGAATTTTTTTATATTATTTGAAGTTTTTATTTTCTAATAATAATAAAGAATTTAGGAATAATTGAAATTTCGTTAAATTGAATGTTGTAAACAAATGGATTTGAAAAATACCAAAGGACTTTTTCGAAAATTATTAAAAATAATAGATATAAAGTAAAATTGTAGTTAAAAATTTTTGAAAATAATAATTGAATTGAAATAATGAAAATAATTTTGAAGAAGTATAATATTCTTATAATATAAAATAATGATTTTATTACTTGGTCATCTTTAATTATTATAAAATATGAAGAAATATCTTCATGTTTTATAGTTATCGAAAAATTTTTATGAACTAAAATTTCATTCATTTCATTCATTGTAAAAAATAACACCAAAATTGATTATTTTAATCTTTTTTGGTGTTAATTTAATCTGCAACACTTTTTAATATTTTTTGAACGACCCCTAAATAAAAATTCCCAGAAATAATTAATTTATTATTTCTGAATATTTTGATATCCAGAACAAACGAAACAACTAAAATAAAAGTAAAATAAGTAAAATGTATGTAATTTTTGTGTTTGATTAAAGAAATCTTTCCCTTTTTTCGGGGCTATTATTAATGAAATAAAAACGAAACATGACTGATATGACAAATAAGAGTGAAATCAAAGGGAGAAATCTTGTAAGAAATATAGAAATAATTGAATATCTGAATAAACAAATGCCCCTATTTTTTTTAACTCCCATTGTATATAAGGAATGAGGTAATTCACTGATGAAAATCTTGTATTGAGGTGGTACAGGAAATAGTAGTCACCTCGATAGGTCAGGCAATCCAATATATATATCCAAGGGAAACGTGTGTATTTGTTATATGTACACGTATAAATTTCTCCAATAGGTATATATATGTGTATGTTTATAGTGTGTCGTCCAACGACAACTATATATACTCTCTCACATTCTTCCTGTCACGCAAGTTTACCATTAAAATGCGATCAGATAATCTTATTTGCCACACGATTATTATTAGGGGGAGAGTGTTCTTCTTTTAAAAACTTTTGTTTCGCATAAATTTTTCCTTGTGGTCCAATTTTTGCTTTGTAATGTTTAAAAAAAAATTGTTTCCCCCCATTTTTTGGAGAGAAATTTATTTTTATATTCGTTTAGAAAATTTTTTTTTTATAATTCGATAGAAAAATGTAGTTTGCAGACTTTGCACTCGATAATTAATTTTTAAAAAGTAGTAAAAACTAGCTTTCAAACTAAAAAAAGTAGTAAAAATTAAGCTTTCGAAAAATTAAACTTGACGACCAAAAAAACTCAAAAATTTAGACACTTCACAAAACTTCCAAAAATTCTATTCTATATTTTGTTTTCCTGACTTTTTTCTAATTTTCATGAAAAATATTTACTTCTTTCTTAACCTGCCAATAAATTGAATTCCTGCAACAAATTTTATTATTCATGAAATAATTGAAATATTTATAAAAATATATTTTTGATTTCTTCTACCGTTTATTGATATTCTTTTAATCGATTATCGGAAGAGTAATAAATGAAACACTATTTAAACACATCCAACGAAATAGTGATGTGTATTTATTACTCTTCCGATAATCGATTAAAAGAATATCAACAAAATTTATAAAAATAATTTAATTATCTTGCGATAGGAATTTTATGAAAATTTTTAAATAATTGATTTCTTTCGACTAATTTTATGCAAATTCTAATTTAAATAAATGAATTCCTGAGAAATTTTTATTATTCATAAAAAAAATTGAATTTTTACAAAGACTTTTACAACAAATTTTTTAAATAATTAAATTCTGTTTGAAAATTTAATGAAAATAGTAGATAATGAAAACCATTTAATAGCGAAAAGTTTTTAAAACTAATTAAATTTAACAAAGAATTCTATTTCAATTTTTAACAATAATTAAATGTCTGCATGGTATTTTATTAAATTTTTTTTGAAAATAATTTAATTTCTAAAAAGTATTTTATTATTTATGAAAATAATTTTATTTTTGCGACCGATTTTATTAGAATTTTTTCAAAATAATTTAATTTCCCAAGAAGAAATTTATTTCTTTTAAAAATAATTGAATTTTTGCAAAGAATTTCATTAAAATGCCTCAAAATAATTGTAATTTTTGGGAATAATTTTGTTATTTATCGACATAATTGAATTCTTGCGAAGAATTATTTACGGAAATAAATGTAAATGTAAATTCTTGGGAAGAATTTTATTAAAATCTGCAAGAATAATTGAATTGTGGCTAAGAATTTTAATAAAATCTTCAAAAATAATTGAATTTCTGAGAAGAATTTTATTGTTTATAAAAATAATTTAAATGTTTAAAAAGAATTGAATTTCTGTGAAAAATTTTGTTATTTTTGAAAATAATTGTATTCTTCATAAGTATTTTATAAATATTGTTTTAAATAATTAATTTTTTCGAAATACTCGACCTCTGTCGAAGAATTTTATAAATATTTTTTTAAATAATTGAATTTTTGTTAAAATTTTATTATTTATGACAATAATTTAATTTTTTGGAAGAATTTTATTAAATTTTTTTTTTAAATAATTGAATTCTTTGGAAGAATTGAAAAATTGTAAAAATTGTCAAATTGTTTTTAAAAAGAATTGAAGTCCTGTGAATAATTTTATTGATTGTGAAAATAATAGAATTCTTGCAACTAATTTTAATAAAATTTTTTTTAAATAGTAATTAAGTTTCTGAAAAGTATTTTATTATTTGTGAAAATAATTGAATTCTTGCAAAGAATTTTAAATTAAAACTTTTTTAAAGAATTCAATTGCAACTGAACTAAAAAATATATAAATTTTATAAACAAATTTTACCAAAATCCTTAAAAATAATTGACTTCTTTCGAAGAATTTTATAAACATTTTTTTAAATAATTGCATTTTTCGAGGAATTTATTTCAAATTTTACTTAAAATAATTGAAATCCTACGAATGTTTTTATTGATTGTGAAAATAATTGAATTCTTAAAACGAATTTTGTTTAAAATTTATTTCAAATAATTGAATATCTTTGAAGAATTCTATTATTCA